CCCCACCCTCGCGCCGACGCCTGAGGCGCAGCCGGCGGCGGCTGCGGTAGCGGGGGTGATGGTAGTGACGGCAATGCCGGGACGAACGCCGTCGTCGTACGTGACGAAGACGCCGCCGCCGCCGCCGCCGCCGCTACCGATGCTGGGGAAGGAGGCGATAGGGTGGCAGCGGCGGGGTCATCGAGCGGGGAGGAGGGCGGCGAAGTCGGGTTCGTCGCGGCCCCGCGGGCGGAAGGCCTGACCGGGGACGACTTCCAGTGCAACATTTGCTGGGAGATGCTGGCGAGGCCGGTCACCCTGGCGTGCGGGCACACCGCGTGCGAGTCGTGCATGGCGAAGTACCTGCGGGCACAGGCTCAGGCTCAGGCTCAGATCGGGAACCTTCGCGCCAACCGCATTTCGTGCCCCGCGGGTGAGATTCAGACGCAGTTGGTTTGTCTTTCTGCTGCTGCTGCTGCTGCTGCTACTACTATCACTGCTGTCGTATTTGTTTTTAGTATTTGTAGCAGCAGCAGCAGTATTTGTTTTTCTATATTTGCCTTCCCGTTAGTGTCTACCTGAGGCTCGCCACAATGAGCCGATGGACAAGGTTAAGGGTCTCGTAGCGAGAGAGAGGCATTCCTTGAACGCTTTACTTGTCCTCTTGCTGGCGCCGTCGACGTAGCAGATATTCTGTTCGTTGAAGCTTCGCATCTGGCACGAAAATGAAAGCGGTGGCTGATCGACGCATGTCTGCTGCCCTCTTATCCTTGACGGTGTGCTGCAGGGTGTCAGCGCATGATCCCCCTGGTGCTACCTGAAGTGACGACCATGGTGCAGAAGCTGCTCACGAGAGGATTTCCCAGCGCCTACCGGGAGCGCCTCCAGGAGACTGAACCCGAGCGCGCGCTCGTATCACAGGTGCGTTGTTGTTGTTGTTGTTGTTGCGTTGTCGTTGTTGTTCTTGCAACCGCTGTTGCTGCTGCTGTTGCCATTGTTGTTGCAGCAGTTGCTGTTGCTGCCGGTGTTGCTGCTTGCTTGTGTTGTTTTCCTGGGTGCTACCATTGTTGTTGCCGTGTCTTTCTCACACACATCCTTGCGTTTTTCTACGGCGGCGGTAGGTGCGGCGCATTGCAGACGATGCTGCGGCCGAATCGCGCAGACGAAGACGTCGACCTCACCATCACGGCCACGGTGGGATTGGGGGCGCGGTCGGAGGCGGGGGGGCCGGCGGAGGGCTCGGAGGGGTGGCTAGGGAGGTCGTGGGTTTCGGCAACGTGCCCCCCGGGTTTATGCAGGGGCTGCACGGCCAGCAGAACGCGGCACGATTTCGGGTGAGCACCCCCTTTTTTGTGCTGTGGTTCTTGGGCCATCCTGTGATCACCAAGACTCGTGCCACTTTCTGGGCGATTGGTACATGGATGTTGTGGCAGTTGGTATCGAGTAGACGTGGGTGAGGAGTGATTTTCTCGTGAGTGAAGACAAATGACAGCAGCTCTGGTTTTCTCCCACACCTGCCAGGTGCTTACCATTCTTGATGGCTGAAGTATTTTTTTTTAAACATAACTGCAGGATACCTGTTGGAGACCCCGACAATCTCGACGAGCTTTTGGTTGGCTTGAGTTGTTGTGCTGCAACGTTGATTTTGGGTTGGTCCGAAGCGGGGTGAGAGGACGCCGCTGCGTTTCCAGCCTCCCCCTGCCAACTTTGTGGTGCAAGTACCGTTCCGAAAGGCTTTGTTGCGCCGAATCTTGATTTCGATCGCACGCAGCAGAATCAAACATCGGGAATGAGCAAAGGGTCGACGTCAACAGCAATACTGTAGGATTGGTGGTTGTCGATATTTGCAGTGACCTTGTTGCTGCTTTTTCTGTGAGATGTCCTTTTCTCCCCTGATGCCCCGTCCTCTCGAGGACGCGTGTTCAATGGTCTAACCGCAAAGGCATGCAAATCATGAGCGCACCCCCCCCCCCCCCCTCCGCCCGCGCGTGTGTGCTGCAGCTTGACGTGGCGGTTCCGCAGAGGGAGATCCCGCCTACCGTGGCTCGGTGGTACAAGTACATGGGGCTCGCTTTGTTCGCCTGCCTTTGTGTGTCCTGGCAATACCCGGGCACCACTGGAGAGGGATTGTGGCACCCGGTATGTATGGTGATCTTGTCGTTTATATTGGTGGTAGTGGTAGTGGTAGTGGTGGTGGCGGTGGTGATGCGGGCGGCGGCGTACGTGGCGATGGCATTGATGGCAATGCTAGTGATGCAGATACCCGATAGTCGCTATCGATGTGGTGCTGCGAAATATGTGTTGTCGGTGTGGTTGGGCAAGGAACCTCCTTGAATATCTCCGGAACACCCCCAAGAGCTCTAGTTTTCCCAGAAAAACAAGCAAAGCACCATTCTGCAGTCCAATGAACTAAAATGTAGAGAACCGTTCTTGCCTCAATCTAAATACAGCATTATGAAGCTTGGCAGTATAGGATCGAACGATGTTTCGAAAATGCATGTGTGACCAATGCCCCCCCTCCTATTCTGCGGAGCGTTGCAGTGTTCCAGGTTGTGGTTTCGCTCACGGTGACGCAGTTATTTAGTTCTATCCCCCCTATCCTCTACCGGCAGCCGATTGGATGCTAGAGCACGTCCTCGAGACCACCGCATTGCTTCATAACACCCCCCCCTCCCACACCTGCCCCCTCTTCCCCGCAGAGCCTTGCTTTCTGGCGTAAAAACAACGAACCCGCGGTGACCGTCACAACGTCCGCATCCGGACACCAGTGCGTCGCAGGGGGGGGCGCGGGGGATGCCGGTTCGGGTGACTGCAGCGTTGCCAACGATGGCGCTGAAAAGGGTGAATTTGCCGAGGTTTCCTCTGAGGAGGGCGGCGGCGGCGCTTGGTGTTGGCTGTTTTCGATGGAGATGAATGTTCAGGTAAATTTTTCGGCTCGTGGGCGTTGGGTTCGTGATGGCTAGCTCGTCATTTGTTTTGTTAACGTGGCGTTTTTTGCTGCTGCTCTTGTTCGGGCATGTGGCTACTGCCGCTGTTGTTGTAGGGATTAGCTGCTGCCTATGTGTATAGCGGCATGTCTTGAAAACTCCGTGTTTTTGCGCTTGAAGCAAGACCGCGCTCAGCATCGTAGAGTGATGGACGATACCAACCGCCCTTCTCATCCTACACCCCTTGCCCCTCTGTGCCCCGTGTGACGTCATCCTTGGGTCCGGCAGGAGTACATCGCGCACAACCGTTGGAACGCGCTCCGGTCCTTCCACCCTTCCACCAGCCCCTGGTCCGGCCCGCTTTTCCTCTACCTCGAGGACCCGGTACTATTGACCCCTTCCTCCTCCTCCTCTTCTTCTGGCGCGCAAGCAACATCATCATCGTCGTCCGTTGCTTCGAAGAAGGGGCCCCGTGTGGGTGGGGATGGTAGCAGTGATTCCGCGTCTCCCCCCTCGGGGTGGCTCTCCACGCTGGCGTGGCCGGTGACGTACTCCCTTCGGAAGATCGGGGTCTTGTCCTCACCGGCCAACACTTCGGAAGACTCTTCTGGAAACGACGACGGTGCTTCTGTGGCGGCGGCAGGCGAAGCAGCGGGAGGGAATGGGAGTGGTGGCGGCGGCGGTGTTAGCGACGGTGACCGCCATGAGTGCGGCCACGCTTCCGTCGACGGCGGCGGCGGCGGCTGCTGCGGCGAAGACAACGAAGTCTGCTGGCGAGAGGGGAAAAAGGCGCCCGAGGAGGTTTCCTCTCCCGCCGAAAGATTCTCCGCCGAAAGTTACTCCGTCGAAAGTTCCTCCGCAGACGCCGGCAGCAGCGGCGCGGAAGGGGCAGCGGGCGAGCCGCAGCAGCAGCGGCGGATCTTCCTGGAGTTCTTTGGGCCCGTGGTGGGGGTCTTCGCGGCCCTTGGGCTCCCGGCGTGGCTGTCGGAACTCTTGACGGTGGTGGCGGCGCAGCTGTGTCCTCTGCTTGCGGCGATGCCTCTGCTTCGCCTCAGCCCTCGGAGCACGAAGGGTGCCGAAGGTGATAGCGCAGGTGCGTGAGAGTTGCTGTTGCTAGGGGACGAAGGAAAGAGCGATGTATAGAAAATATGCCATGGTACACGAAAACGCTCAAAGACTGCGAGTTCGAGATGTAACCACCGTCGAAGGGTATGTGCTGACTTTCGCCCGCACTCCAGCACTTGGCAATTGAGAATTTCTCATCCTCTCATCCTGGGTATTTTATCGAAACAAAAAATTGAGCACTGTTTGTGAGCCTGGTTAAGAATGTTTGCTCTTGAAAAAGGCCACTTGTAGCGCAACCCTTTCGGAACGAACCCCATCCTCGGCAAAAAATTTCGTTCGTTTATTTTATCTTGAGACGATCTGGTGTCCCACAACCATCTTCCCTTTCTCTCTATTTTGCTGCTTCAGACGATCGGGTGTCCCACAACCATCGTTCATTTACTGTCTTTTTTTTACTTCTTCAAAAGACCTGTGCCCCACAACCATCTTCCAGTGCTTTTATCTTCAGACGATCTGGTGTCCCTCGACTTCTCCCTGGACCTGGCGATCTACGCCGTTTTCACCCTGGCCATCGCTACGGTCACCCTGTGGCGGTTCACGTGGAAGACCTTTAAGAGGGACCAGCCTCGCAGCCGAACGCTCAAGCTGCTTCTCACCGCGGCGGCGTCCCACCTCGTTCGGGAAGTGGTGATGATAAAGGTGGGGCACAGAGGAGGCTTTCTTTCTGCGCGCGGGGGGCATAGTCATGTTTTGCATGCCTCTGTTGTTTAGGCCATTGTCCACGGAGGACGGAGGAGGGCACTGTTTCTCCCTGGGGGTGGTTGTAATTTAGGTGGGAGATGATGGGCCTTTTCCCCTCCCCGCGCGGGGGAAAGGCACAGTTGTCTATCATGAAGACGGGGAGTGAACAGGCTGTGTTCGCGTAGGGGGTTTGCCACATGGCATTCATTAGAAGGGGACGGGGGCGTTGTCTAGGGGGTGGAAGGCGAGGAGAACGTGTGCGCGCTAAGGGAGTGGGGGGGGGGTAGGGGGAGGCACATGTAGTCGTTTTTTTTCTCGCCCGAGTATTTTCTTGTCGACGACGGGTCGGTGAAGCGGAACACCGTCAGTTGAATGCTTGTGGTGTAGCACTGCTGTCGCAGATCGAAAGTCGGGCACAGTGTTCGAGCCTTTGCCGTTCTGTTGTGCACGATAGTATTTGCTTCTCATAGCTACGCAATGCCAAATCAACCACGACTTTCTTTGGTTTATTCTCTATAAATCGTTGACCATAACACGCCGGCTTTCTTTTCATGGCGAGTGCACGGCAGAAGCAGTGGCGAGACGTCAAGCACTGCTTCTCCAGCATGAGTGAGCCCATTGTGTTATTCTGTTTTTGTCAGCATGCCTGCGCAACACTTTCCCGTGTGAGCTAGCGAACCACCTTCGCGAGAAATTAAGTTTATGAGGAATAGACCAGGGAGGGAGTACGCAGACGCTATCCCTACCCCTGGCCCAACTTCCCCGATTGCATGCTTCATCCGACATGTTTGCTTATGGAAAAACCTTTCGAAGGTTGCTGGAGCTAGCCCATTGTTTGTTGTGTTGTATTCGCATCTCTCCGCAATACTGCCGTTTTTTCCGAAGGACGGAGATATGGAGCCGCGTGTGGTATGGTACTTGCAAGCGTTAGACCAACGCCAACAACAACGACATGGCAACAACTCACGTTTGCGTTTTTCAGGTGGCATTCCCGATCATCGAGCACCTGCTGTTCCACTACGTGCTGCAGTGGCGGAGGAGGTACCTCTTGACGTGGTTGGCGCTGTCTATTCGCGTCTTCATAATCAGACTGTGAGTCTATCGAGAGAGTCGTACGCGGAGAGCCCTTTTTTTTTCACCTGTGATGAAATATGCCCATCCCTGGTTACTTCGTCGAGTTGTACAGGACACCGAAATGTGCCGGCATGGGTGCAGGTTAATTCCGTGCCTTTGTTGGCTATTGAACTACTTCGTGGTTCATAAATCGTGGTCTACGACCTACCTATGCTTTCTAGTGGTCCTCGAGCAGCCTGCAATGATGTATCTCGGCTTTGGGTTACACGCCGTGCTAGACCTTTAGGCGGCCATCTTGTGTATCGCACTGTTTTGTGTGTGTCGATACGGGGTAAGCCTATGGTTGGAAGATGGAATTGTGTGGTGTTTGAACAGAAGTACAGCAGCATGCGGTGTTCCTTGTTGAGGTTGTGTGGAGATGCGTATGTTGAGATTCACGTCAGGGTGTTTTGATGTGACTGACGCACTCCCGCCCCCTGCATTCTCGTTTATCTGTCTGCCCAGGCTTGCTTGTCTGCGCGTGGCGCTACTCATGGCGACTCCCTTCGTGCCTCGCGGCTTGCTCCACACGCTTGAAGGGGTGTGGTGCCACCTCTTCACCTACCTCCTGCTGGGCACACGCTTCTTCAACACTTTTTTCGTCGGTGAGAGCCTGCTGTACTGCTACTAGGGTCGTTCGTGACAGCTGCTGCCCAGCTGCGTGTCAAGCAGAAAGGCGGAATTTGTGTGGTCTTTGAGACCCCTGTACGAACAATTTACATATTCTTCCGTCTTTTGACAATTTTTCAGGACCAAAAATTGGTCGGTCGACTTGTTGAAGAACCAATGAACCCACTTGGAAGACTCAACGTGACGCGTGACTCATATGCATGCGACCTGGAGTTGGAGCCCTGTGTGGACGTACTGCTGCAGGTGTGGTCCGCCGGGAGACTGCCTGCTCAGTCAAGCTGTGAAGCCAAACCAGCCAGCTATTTAGCGCATGACCCTATTCACCAGTCTATCGCGTCTCCTATTCTTCAATATTTCGTCTCAACCCTACATATCTTGTCTATCGTACCCCCTAGGTGACGGTCCTAGGCGGCACGTCGGGGGGCGCGCCGCCCGCCGCTGGGTCCGCGCGATGAGAGAGGCGAGGGCCGGGGCGGCGAGAGCCAACGTGCCCATGGCCAACCTCGCGGCCATTCCCAACTTCCCGCCCCTCCCCCCCCACCGGGCAGGCGCCGCCGCTGGCGCTGCTGCGGCTGGTGCTGATGCCGGTGCAGACGCTGCCGCGCCGCCTGCCGCCGCCGGCGACGCCGGCGACGGCGACGGCTCGAGCCAACGGCAACGGCAACGGCAACGGCAACCCGCGGGGTGGCGGTGCCGAAGTCGGCGGTGACCGCTGCCGCTGCCGCTGCCGCTGTGGGTGCGGCGAGGGTGCAGGCCGCGGAACAAGCGCTGGAGGCGCTGCGGCGTCGCGGCGTCGCCCTGGCAGCCCGGCAGCAGCAGCTCATTCCTGCAGCATCGGCAGCAGCAGCAGCAGCGGCAGCAGCAGCTGGTTTTGTGGGAGGGGGGACGGCAACCGCGCGGCGTGCGGCGGCGGCGGCCAGAGCGGCGAG